AAATGGAGGTCCCCTATTGGGGGGGGCGCCTGGGGGCCCAGACGCCCCCCCAATAAGGAGCTTCCATGTGTCAATTATGGACATCTTTATGTTATGAGTTATGTATCTTTATCATAACCCTTAGAGCAATGCTTGGTGTACGGGGAAATTCTGTCAAGCCTCTTACCGGGGAACTTGTCATTTTTACATTGATTGTTGACAAAAAACAAAAAGAAAAACGACCGTACAGCTGTGAGTTTTTCCCCTTACCCTGGAAATTAATAAACATTTATTTTATTATATTTCTAAAAATAAATTTCTACCACTTATTAGGTTAAAAAGTGATTAAGAGTGTGTTTGAGACACATTCTTTTCAAAGAATGTATTATTGAATAGTAGATTGATGGAGAATGTGTGGTTAAAAATGAAGAAAAAATTATTGATATGATGGAAAATATTATTTTATTGAAGAATGTGTGGTTGAAAATGAGTANACATTATTAGTACTTAGGGTGTGTTTGATTCACATTATTTTGAAAAAATATATTCTGAAATAGTAGATTGATGGAGAATGTGTGGTTGAAAAAGAAGGAAAAGTTATTGATGTGATCGAAAATATTATTTTATTGAAGAATGTGTGGTTGAAAATGAGTAGAAGAATGAGAATGAAAAAAATAATGTGTACCAAACATAGCCTAAATAAGATATGAAGCAAAATTAGAATGTTAAGAGGTGTACCTTTTGAACAGTCAACACTCTTTAGATCAAACCATGCGAGGTCCTTAATTATGCTTAACATGGATTATAAAATTAATCAGAGATTATTTCTCAATCAACCAGTTGATAATTTGGATATTATAATTATTTATTTTATATTATTTGCAATCCATAAACACTTGATTTAAATATTTAAATTTTCTTATTTAATAAAATAAAATACAACTTGTTCAATCATGTCACCGCGTCAATCTATACATTAATATGACGTGCTTTGGATAAAATGAAAGAAAATGACTTAGTGATGTTCCATAAGGCTAATAAAAAAGAAAGATTTCACGATCTTTGCTACCTTTATGTACAAATAAGGTAACATCTTAAGCGTGAAAATCAATTTAGTATTGTTCAAGATAGAAGTCAATCGACCACCGAGAACATAATTGGTGCGAATAGAAAATATTCGGCCATTTGTATGTCAATTTGCTATACAAAAAATGCTCGAATGTTTGAAAATCGAACTTTCTTTAGTTCTTTTTTTTTTCCTTATTTATAATTGAAAGTCACGTCATTATCTTAAATACTTGTGTATTAAAGTCAACTAAACGTGGTAAGTGCCCAATTTTCTCATTACAATTGATTCCAATGAATCTTAATAAACGAGGAAGCCTGTGAACTATTACCCTTGTCATGGTATTTCTTGACGTCTTCCATCTTTCAACTATAATTACTTTCAAAATACATCATTCGAAGGTGAAGAAATTCGAATAATTATATTTGGAATAATGCTAAATGACCCGCATGGATGACCGCAGGGATGACCGCACCCTCACAACCAAGGTAAGGGTCCCACGTGAATAAAATAATCCCGAACCCCCATGTGTGTGTGCGCGGTCAACCCCGAGGTCATCCACGCGGTTCGTCTAGCATGGTTCTTATATTTGTGACGTTTTTACCGGTTTTTGGACAATGGGTGGGTAACTTAATGCATACAAAATAAAGGTTATATAGCTCGAAGTGCAAAAGGGTTTGAAGATTAGGGATCCTACCTGCAATTTATTTAGCATACGTGCCTAGTATTCTCATTTGTTTAATGTTTGAGCAAGTTGTGCTTCAAAGCACGCCATTGACTGTGAATAGAAGAAAAACAAGGCAGATAGATAGTTGGAGCAAG